CTCTATCGTTTCGGCAAAAAAAAAAAAGATAAACTAGAACTAAACTCAACAATAAGTCTTTACAAGGAATAGTCAAATGACAACAAGTCACCTAGTCTAGCCATAGCACAACTAGGCACTCGGGGAATACAACAATCACCCTCGAGTGGTAAACCACAATGAAACTAATAAATCAACTCAAGTTTGAAGATACAATATCGCATAATGGGATGGCATCCAAAAGGGACGAAACACTAACAATATGGTCGTTCTCTCCAAACTCGGCTGGCAGCCCGACATCAATCTTCAATTTAGTCCTCGCCTGACCCACCATGCAAACAATATCCTCCCAGCATTCATCCACACAGGTCTCTAGCACCCATTTTGTCTTCCACAAATCCTCTTCCTCTTGCATCCCTTTGTTGCGGCATAAGACCAGACCATATTTTCAATATTCTCCCCCATCTCTCAGCCTTTCCTTGCACAGTAGTCACATTGAACACTGACAGAAACAACAATCTGTCGTACCCTAACTAAAACTTGCTCACCTAAAGGTCGAGTACAAGAAACCCACCCAACACTTTTCCCATTTACCAGTGACAACCATAAACTCTAACTAGTCTTTTTCTTGCTTTATCTACCACTTCTATTTCAGTCCACTACTTCTCTTCAAAGAGCCAACAGTTCCTTCTTTTCCACAACCACGGAGCCACCAAAGGAGGTAAGTGGAGACTTACCCTATCTCTAAATGAACAATTTCCACCTTCCAATTTTTGCCACTACACCCCCCATGAACAATTTGTAGGTCACTTCTATTTGCTTTTATTTTGGTCATTTTATATACCTACTACACAGAAACACTCTTTAGTTCCAAACTCGATTTGACTCGTTAATTCTCAAGATTTATATAATTTTTTTTAAAAGCATCTTTAACAATAACTCTCTTTTTAAACATTCCAACATGTCACATCACCCAAAAACTCGTAGCTATAAGCGTAGTGATAAACACTATGAATTAAATCATATTCAGAATGACCTAATTATGCTCGACCGAAGAAGGTATGAAGTTCCGAATGAGTATTCTTTGGGGGAAGAACTGTTTAATTATATGAGGAAATGAACTTCGCGGGAGAGACTACAAGCTCACCCTCCAAAGCCGACACGGCTAACAACCCCCAACTAACTTACAACTTAATTACACACAAAGGAACAAGAAGAGAAAAGAGACTTAAGTACAACAATATCCTCTACAACAGTAGCCAGATTACAAGGAAAAGACATATTTAAACTCAACATCTTCACAAGTTCTGCAGACTCCAAAATGCAAATTATATCTGGCCACCCTAGATCCACTGCATCCTCGAGAACCCTTCTCAAGGCCAGCAAGCGTGCTTCACTTTCGGAATCAGTTTGAACACTCCAGGGACTCCATGTCTGAAGAACTTCATTCTCCTTCACTATCATTCCTCCTAGAGTTGCTTCTTCTACATTAATTCATGTTTAGCATTTCTAAGAATAGATTGATATTGAACACATATAACAAATATAATGCCCGATTTATGAGCATATCAATGCTAGTTGTTCAAAAATGAAATATTACCGATGAAATGCAATCGTTTAAAACACGTTTCATTCTTTGAGCTATAATTTTGGCGATCAATTTGTAAATGACGTTGATTCTGACAAATTTAAAAATAAGGATGACTTTTTTCAGAGGTACAAGAATCTGAGTTCGAGCATTGGGGTTCAAGGCTAAGACTTCAGCCTCATAAGTGAATTTAACAGAGAACTTGCCATTGGGGCTGTGATGCCCAGTTTTGCTATGGAGCCATCAGATGACTCGGCTTATGGAGTCATCGACACTTATTCACCAATAGTGTATTGACACTTGTCCTACAACAAATATAATCTGGACAGGTGTCAATATATTAAGTGGTAGATGGCTCTATAAGAAAACCATCCGATGACTCCATAGAATTTTTGTGTTACATTATATTGCCTTCTGAGCAAAACCTTCTCCAAACCTTCTCCAGAACTCTGATTTTTTAGTCTTTTGAGAATTAGGGTTTTAGGTGCAAAATAATAATCAAATCACTAATCAAACAAATTTGTTACCAAAAAAAATTAATTAGCGAATTTGATTCGTCGTAAAAATCTTAAATATGGTAAAAAAAATAGCTAATTTAACATCAATTTATTAATTAAACAAACAAACAAACAAGTCCAAATGTGTCCAAGAGGATTATTTGGCACAAGTTTTATTAGTGCATGCAGATCTAAAGATTTTAACTAATTACACCAATCAATACCTATGAAATTTTGGATTTTAATAATTAAGTCATTATCCATTCATACAAGAAACCTTAATTTTCGAAAATTGTCGGAGATTATTATTGATGTTTAAGAATAATTACATCTAATGATGATTAGTCCACAGTTCAAACATTTTTAATAATCATTAATTATTTTGATTTGTCTGCAGTTTTCTTCCCCCCATCATATCCGTTAATTAAGCAATAAGACGACTGTTTGTTCATGTGCTAAATAGTTTTAGCTACCTAACCCGAAATATCTATAAATATATAATTTGGCAAGACAAGCATTTAATTTTATTGTGATGCATTAAATTTTATTCTCCCTCCAATTTTTTTAGCATTCAATTTCATTTTTAAGTTACA